CCCCACCCCCCGCGCTCCCACCAACGAAGGCTCGAGTCACCGGCACCTAGACTTTTCAATAATTCTCTTCCACTCGTCGCCCTTTTTTCATACATTCTTCCTTGGTCCATATACTTTACTCTCTTTTCCAGCTACTCGAAACTCGCGCTACAATATTCTCCTTGCTTTCTCGTTCTCAGTTTCATCCATGCATCAGGAGTCTGTGGAGCCTCTCTCCTGGTAGCACCGACCGCACCGACCGCACCGACCCGCGACCAACCACGGCTAATTCATACGCGTACTTTTCGAATCCTACGCGCGAGCGGAACAACCTACGCTGCTCACGAACTCGTTCACCCACCTTCGACCTCGCCCCGCACGTTCTCTCTCCGCCGTGTCCTTACCTTGTACCGCCAGGTAACTGCCAGAACTTCCACCACTTCCACCACCGCGTTGATGGTGCTCGTCATTCGTCCCTACGGCACGTCGCCATACTTCGAGAAGGACCAGCCTACCTCGGCAAACATACTTCTGACAGTCTAATCCGAATGATAGTGCGCGAGATTTCTATTTCTATATCTATTTCTAACTGCGCTATTCCTGCTTGACGTTTTCAAAGCGTTCGGAAGCTTTCCAATGAGCTTTATTGGCTTAATCGGTTTAATGCAATTCATCGGTGTTTAGTGGTTTATTCTTTAGTTTCTTTGAGTTTAATAGCGAGTAACATTTAATAGTGAGGGGGGGTTCAGCTGTTTAAACGTGCAGCTGGTATTGCAGTGGCCGGCGTTACGATAAAGAACCAGCAAGCAGGCAATACCTACTGGAGCCCCGGATCGACAAGGCACGAAGCATTGCCATCATAGTCGACAGTGGCGCGAGGGGGCACGCTCGCGTCTAATCACAGTGCAGCAGTACAATAGAGAAACCCGCCTGAAAATGGTTAAAAGTGGACGAGTGTCGTGCGACTCACGATAGAGATATCGTGCTCATGCACTTGATCGCGGCGTCGAGAAGTTGCTGAACTTTTCTCTGATAAAGTCTATTGCGAGAAATGAGGGTGGCCCGGCGTGCTTAAGCTGATTGCGGGAATCTGATTTTGATTAAGGGAAGAAAATGGCGATCACGGCCGTGCCGAGTTGCCTCGGTCCACCACCGCTACCACCAGGTAAACGTTTCCTACAGAGGTCCTCGAAGAAACTTTCCTCGACCTACAGGAGCTTTCGGGATCCCGCGATAGAGGGCTGGATGCCTGCCGGAGTATCTGGAGCTGCATCGGAAAGGTCCTCCCTGAAGACGGTGTCCAGGTCCGGCATCACGATAGGCAGTAACCTTTTCAGAAGTCGATCGGAGGGAAATCTGACTGGTAAAAGATCAGCTATACTGGCTTCCACGCCGTTGGATAGGTGCATACGTGCGATATACGGGAGCTGGCGTAATCTCATGCAGTGTAAGTGCATCTACTTTCGGATTTGTATACTTATAGACTCTGACTTAAGAAGCTCTATAATTTTCTTAAGTCGATCTGCCGACTGGTCTTTTGTCCCCGTTTTCCTTATATTTCGAGTTTCCCTTCAGCCTCTCAAGTGGAAGCTTGATTTTCTCCCGATTACGTGAATTTTCTTGGCAATCCAGTGCAGGTTCTCTAGGGTGCCGTAAACGGCAGGGAGTGCGTTCCTCTTACATCCTTCTCCGGTACCTATCTAGCTACAATATGAAATCTATCGGATCGATCGAATCGACTGCCGATCAGCTAAGAGCCAACCGATCTTGTCTGGGTCAGATCGCTCGATAGATGGATAAACTAGTTGCTCCACCCAGCCTTCAGTGAGCCTTCCGTGTGTTAGGACATTGATGCGGTGCACGCGCGCGTGTGTTGCAGGTCGCCCCCCCCAGCCCCTCCCCTCAGGGGTGACATTTATCTCGATAAGGCATTTTCCCGGTGCATTAAGTAAGGCAACAGCAGGACCATATTTGCGTCGAGTGAGTTTCGATATGTCTCGATGTACCTCGGCTTATCACCGCTCGAGTTGGTCCAGCCGAGAATCTGTATCTTTTGAGATTCGGCGATCGACTCGCGCTTTTGCGAATGTGTACTTTCGACTGGTGTAAATCTTGAGGGTCGGGGAGCCAAAGATTTCTCCTGTGTCCAATGTCCTGTTATCCTGCTCGTTCCTGACGCCAGTCCTCGACTGGTTGCGACATCGGATAGAAGCCATTTCAAATCCCGAGAACTATAATCGAGAAATGACATTTCCAAGGGGTTTAGAAAGAAAGCGGCAGCTCAGTAACATACTGTCTCGCGTTTATTATTGCTCTGACGCACTTACGAAAGAAGAAGGTGGATAAGCGTTGACTCGCTAATTTCGACTATTTTCTTTTTTAAAGTTTTCTTTTTCGAATTTGCAATCGGATGAGCATAGAAACTCATTGACGCTCAGTTTACGATTTGTCAATCTTACAGGTTATTGAATTCTTTAGAAACGAATTGTGCTATGTACTCGTAGTAATTGTCGTAGATGGTTGGCCGCGTGAATCCGCATAATTGGCGAGTATGGCCAACATCAATTAATGGATTTATTGTTGATTTCACTCTTCTTCTCGACTAATTAAGGAATTATTGCTGTAACCATTAGAATTAACCTCCGTCCCCGCTAGACGCATACATTTTAACTCTCTCTTCGTGGTGTATACTTGTGCAGTAAACATGCACGGAGGCACGTATACTCGTGTCCATCAGGCTCTTCTGTTGCGAGAGAGAGAGAGAGAGAGCCTCCACACTTAATAACGCCGCACAGCGCTGAGTTATAAGCGGAGCGTCCGACCTTGTTTTTTCTACTTTATTTCATTCTGTGCCATTAAGAATCCAGTGCGCGGTTTTCATTATCCGGTTCGTAGAGTTTAACTTTACGCGATCCAGCACGAATACGTCATATTGGTGAATTTCATGAGTCAAATTTTGGATCCCCCCCTGCTCTCTCTCTCTCTACCCTATGTTTTGATTGCTTCCGTTGCAAGTCCCCCTGGACAATGGCCCCTTGCTTGCTCCCTCGTTATACCTCCAGTCGCTGCGCCTTTGATTTTTCCTTTTTGCCCAACCGATAACCACAGACACTCCTCTTTGTAGATACTAACTTTGACCTCTGTATTTTCAATCTGTTCGTTCTTTTTTATTTTTATTTTATTTCACTCTCCAGCGATCACACCTACTTCGATATCTTCCCTCTTATTCGTTACGCCATCTTCTTTTAGCACCTACACGAAGACTCTTGCCAGCCAGCCACCCACGGTCGAGGAGTCCTCTTGCGTAACAATCGTCAGAATTTGTGGAAACAGCAGTTTCTCCTGCTGCGCACGGGAAGAGAAAGAAGAGCGATCAGAATCCTTATAGTTTATACCGTTGAATAGAATACTCTCAAAGAATTCTTCTTGATATTTTCCCTGAATAGGATTACTCGTGTGTTCCTTGGCACAAGCATGCCTTACTCTTATTGCCAGAACATGCTCGTAATACAGGACTGGTCATAGCTGCAGCAGTGGGTGCATGGCCGAATCGTTGCTGCGTAACATGATACACGAGACGCTACAGCGTTAGTAGCCACCAGCAGCCACCACACGGCGGTCCGATCCGTTGCCTGGTGGTCCCCGCAGGGAGTGTATTATTCGCTCGATTTATTTATTTTCACATGTAAATTGCACGTGTGCTCACGGCGCCATTTCCCGTTGTTGCTAGTAGCTACTCGTGAGAAGAACGTGAACTGGTTTCCTAAGATGCTCACCGGGTGGGAAAGAGCAACAAACAGACTTTTAGGGCTCCAGTCTTACGGTCGGCGGGTCCACCGTCCTGTATCGTCAGTCGCCTCTCTTCCAGGTTGAGGAGACCGTTCAAACTTTTTGAACTTGCTTCTCTTGTGTTTTGACGATGCAGCATAATAGTGAGTGTCAAAAGATGCGCAATTTCCTTCTCATCGTTAAATGACTTTTCCGACGCGAGTCACGTGGAATTCTGTCTCGCGGCAGAGAAGGAATAAACAAGAGGGATTGAGAAAGGTTTATCAATTCTGATGAGACTGTTTTGTGGCAATACGGAAGTTTCTCTGGTGCTCCGGTACGCAACACTATTATTCTGTTACTCTGTTGCTCCTGCTGTAGCTCCATCTCCCTCTCACCTGTTCTTGTTCTTGTGCTTCTTGCTGCAACCGCTGTTCTCCTCTCTGTCCGTTGGTTAGCCGACTATGAACAACGGCGCCTCCAGACCGAGAAACTGGTTCGCTTTAATTTTAGACGGCGTCCTACGCCGATGAGAACCTGTTCCCTTCTGGTGCATGCAACTACATTTTGACGTCGTGTCGAAGGACTGCAGGGTCTCTCGCGAGCAAAGTCGTCGCCAGGACGACGCTATCAGAGGGTGGGAGATAGAGAGAGAGAGAGAGAGAGAGAGAGAGAGAGAGAGAGAGAGATCGAAGCAGAGTATATAGAAGGAGGGCAATGGTAGAAGAGAGAGAGAGAGGCATCCGTGCTTAGGCGGTTAGATTGGCGCCACTGCGTTGTATAGTTAAGGATTTCGGGGACGTCCGCGTCCTCCTCGTCACACTGTATTACATAACATAACGTTTCTCTTCTAACAATGGAGGCAAAATATTTGTCAGGGCCACAGTCTCCCTCGTATAGGATTCTGTAGTTCTGTAGGTGCTCCAGCAGTGATGTACCTGGATACAGTGAAATATTTCCTTATGTTTCAGTTGGCGGTATGAGCCGGCCGTCGAAAGCCGTGACTCAAGCGAAGAAGGTGGCTCCACCAGCAGTTCCTGACGTCTTTCGCCATTCGGGCTCGAGTTTCGGCTCGGCTGGCTACGCTAGCAGCGAGGATGGCTGTTTTTTGTCCGGTGGCGGCAGCAACGGTGGTGGTGGTGGTGGTGGTGGTGGAGCTGGCGACGATGGTTCCTACGGGATGCCGTCGGGGAAGAGTCCTGGACCAATTTTCACGCATCCAGGATTTGCCTTTCCACCCATTGTTGGAAAGTATGCTCATGCCGAAGACCAGGGTATGTTACCGTCTCTTTCTAATTACGAATATACATACATATAATGTACCTTCCTTCTCCCTTCTCCCTCGCATTACCAGGAGACTATAGAAACTTACAGCAATCCCGACTGTTTACTTCCGGCAGGTATCGACATGACGCAAAGCCCAGGAAGGGATAGTCCTGGAAGTTCTGGATCAGGTTCCGGCTCAAGACATTCCACTGCCTCTTTGGACTCCGGTAGAGCCTCAGGCTACCATCTTGGCCCGAGGGGTCCTGGAGCGCTTGCCTCCTCCCCAAGGTGTTCCATTAGTTCACTGGGGAGTCATCCGGATCGACCGGCCGATTTGGACGTCGTTCACGCATGGCTCACCGAGTTACAACTTGAGGAATATTTTCCGCTTTTTGCTACTGCGGGTTATGACCTCGCTACTATAACTCGTATGACCCCTGAAGATCTCACGGCTATAGGTGGAGTTTTAATACAGGACATATTTTTCCTTTCGACTTGTCCGTAGGTCATTACTAACTCTTATTAATTTTATGGTTAGGTATTAAGAAGCCTAATCATAGAAAACGCCTAAAGGCGGAAATTGACAACTTAAATATCGGCGATGGACTTCCGGAACACGTACCTGGTTCTCTCGAAGAGTGGCTAAGGCTGCTGAGACTCGAGGAGTACTTAGGTGCGCTGCATCAGCAAGGTATGCGATCCGTCGAGGATGTTACAACTCTGACTTGGGAGGATCTCGAGGATATTGGTATAGTCAGACTCGGGCATCAGAAAAAGCTTCTTCTCGCCATTAAACGTGTTAAGGATATTCGGGCTGGTAAACGTATTCAGCCGCTGGATCTTGCACGACTTCCTCCGCACCCAGGTCACACACAGGTTAGATGTCGCATTACAATTGCAATGTAATTCCCCAACAGATTGTAAAATGTACTCTATAAATTATAATATATGAATTGTTTATTAGGAAGTTGTAATTCAACGGTCTGGTCCGGACTTGCCATCACCGGACGAGGACTGCTCGTCGCCTGTCCTGAGATCCTTCCAAAGAGCTGGTGGAGCTGCTGCTGGTGGAAACGAAACCTCTTCCGGCAATGCCTGGAGAAGCATGTACGCAGCATTGCCAACTGGCTTAGATTATAATACAATGGGAAGAGGACCAAGAGGAAAATCTTTAGAAAGTCTTGAGGATGCTCCTCTTGGCTATCCACCTTCACCAGCACCGTCTTCCTCGTTAGCACACGGACAGCTTGTCGAATGGCGGCCTCGAAGCTTCGAAGATGGCGATCTTACTCCTACAAACGAAGCTTCCGTCGTCGAAGCGGGTGGCGGCACCCTGCCCAGACCTAGACACTGTCTTGTCCGTCCGCGACCCGTTGCGAAGGTAAAAAACGATTGAAAGAGATATTCATATTAGGGACATCATATTGATTGTATCTTTCAAACCTCAAAGGTTACGGCAACTCCAGGGCAGTTCAAATCTTTGCCCAGAGACTTTGACAACAAGTATCAATTAACGTACGGTCTCGAGAGCAGTCCTAATCTGTCAAAACGTCGACCGCCATCGCCGCCAAGACGTCAGAGTTCACGGGAAATGGGATCATTGTCCGTGACCACCGGGGTGGGTCAGAGCGGTACCAGTGACGTCGTGATAGACTGTAGCGGCCCTGTACCCACCGCATCGTGCGACGAGCATCACCATCATCATCATCATCACCACCTTCATCATCACCATCCGCCACCGCCCCCAGCTCCTGCGCCAGCCCCATCTACGCCATCCCAGCTAAACAGACCTCCGTCCTCGATGTCGCGATCCTGGGGTAGTGTCAGTGTCAATGTCAACGAGGAACACGAGCTCATAGCTTCTCTCGCCCTCCAGCATCGCAATGGATCCGATGCTAGTTTCAAGGTAACCGTTGTTCCTTATGAAGGCCTTTAATTATTTAAGCTCCATTCGTTATTAATATTTACGATTAGCTTTACGATTGGATTTCTTGTTTGACAGTCGAGCTCGAGCACGGAATCGGATTCTCTGCCGTTTGCAAACGAGAACGCTGGCACAATAAAGCAGCGTGCCGCGAGAGCCCAAGAATACGCAAGCAGTCCCGGTAATATGAGCAGCCACGTAATGAGTCACCACTCTCTGGTGAATAGCAGCAGTGGTGGCGAGCCCGCGGATGTTCTCAACGACATCGGAAACATGCTGGCAAATCTAACGGACGAGTTGGACGCGATGTTGGAGGAGGAGAAACGACAAGGCCTCAATCCATAATCATCACTGCCTTCTGTGCTCGTGAACATTTATCTCAATTCTCAAGAGTTGCCATAAGATGAGGAGAATGACTATGTTTTCTCGTCCGCGCGATAACAACACACATTCCTCGAGGATTGCGCCGTGTGGGGTACGACTGATAGAAAAAAAAATCCAATAAATATTATTACCACAGCCCTGGAGGAGTGGACGGAGGCACGATCGCTCAGGAAAGTTTTGGCACAATTTCTTGACTGCATTTGTTTTTAAGCAGTTCCTACTTAGGTGGCACAACATCATCCATTGTCTGTTTGATCATTCTACTTATTTTTACGCTTTTCTTTATTCCCCGTTTTCCCCTCGCCGCTCGCTGCTGCATGGAAGCTTGCATCAGGATTCGCGAGCGATCGGGTCGTCCGGAGTTTTGGGACGTCGCGAGGTTCCCAGAGAACTCGCGTTACTTCGGCGACAGGGTTCCCGCGGTTAACGAACGTCCAGCGCTGCGCATTAGTGCGCTGCATAACCTCATGGCGTAGAGAGATAAGATTATTTTACGGCTGGTAGATTCGAGGATATCGCGTCTACGCTGCACAGGGTACAAATTCGTGTTTCGCGATACGTAGTACATGTAGGTACACACGTGTTTCCCAGACGTAACAAAGAGAAGAGGAAGACAGAAAAGAAGTAATGAAATGAAGGATTTATGGGCGAGAAGTGCCTTTGAGGCGATTTCCGATCGACGGGATTTCACTGTTCTATTATTTTGCTTTAGTTAGGGATTGCATAGTGTAACTGGGAGAAAAAATATTCTTCACGTAATAACATTTATTTCAAGTATTACAAATGTCATCCAATCGCGTGTTCTTGCCTACACGCGTAAACGCTTGCATTTATTAGCGAGTTTCGTCAGGGAGTTTTCTTATTCCTCCTGCCCCCGCCCCCCATTGCTCTCTGGGAACTTCGTACGAATACATTCCACATAAATCTTTTTACTCTATTATCACGTCCGTCCTCGCACGAGTGCGTACACGCGACTTGTCCGCGTATCATCGCAATTCCACAGGTTGATCTGTTTTTATCATTTTCTTTTCTTTTTTTATCCTTAATCTTTTTATCGTACTGCAATAAGCTATGTCGGTCTTTCTTAAATAATGCAGCGATCCGCCTTGGGTGGTACTCGTCGTAAAGCCTCAGCGGCTATCTAATGTAGTGCTATCGGTTGGTCAGGACGTGCATCGTACTAATTGTGTATCAAGCGCGGGCTTTTAGGAAGTCTGTATAGATTGGTGGAGCGGTGAGACTGTAAGAATGGGGGGAAAGGGAAGGGTGGCCGTCGATGGGTGTCGTCTTCCGTGAAAAAAAGTATGATAACAATAAATTGAGCGGAGAATTATTATTGATAATTAATGGAGTGCGGTAAACGTCGACAGACGTAATTGTTATTCTGCCGGCGCACTACGTTGCTCTAAAAAATTGCAGAGTAGTGTTGACAAGGAGTTGCTTATTCTTTCTCTTTATTTTCTTCGATTCCGTATCAGGAGAGAAATGCTCGAGCAACGTTGCACTCCGGCGGCACAGATGATTAATAGTAGTAACAGATGTAACAGACGTAATAGACATAACAATACACGTATATCGACAGGAAACGCATAGGGTAAAGTGCTCATTTCGGATGCGCTTCTAGTTTGGATAAGAAATTTTCAAATGTCTCGATTGTATCTTTTTCCACGATCATATTGCTATAGAGATGGCTAAAATGAATGGTGAAGAAAAGTACATCTACGCACGATGCGGGCGGCTTAGGAGACATTTGAAATTTTTAAATTTGAAATAGGCACTTCATCTTTACGTTTTATAAAGAACGATGTGATTGTTAGTTAGTGCGTGTATTAACACGGCCGAGGACGTGCCCGCGCGCAGAGAACAGATAGATGCATTTATAAACAGAGGTTATGCAGACGCAGAGATACATACGAGACCCTTAAGATAAAAATTTAACGTTTAAGATGTATTAATTGAAAGAAAAAAGATGGGCCTGGAGAACGTCAGGACTTGTCTTGTTAACTATTGTAGATATATAGTTATATATATATATATATATATACATACACACACATATGCATATGCATATATATATAATGTGTATCATATATATACATATATGTGTGTGTGTGCGTGCGTGCGTGCGTGTGTGTGTGTGTGTGTGTGTGTGCAGGCGCCATGGGTGAGCGATCAATTTGACAATTTGTCTACTTTTATACGAACGTCCATTTTCTCCATAAGAGTTCTCGGGACCTTTTAAAGCGAATGTTAGGAATAAAAAAAGATGTCATTTTTATACGGATCACGTAAAGCTGTGTAGCACAGCGTGTAGATAATCGACGATGCATTTTTTTTGTTTAAATCCGACGAGATGACACCCTATTTTCTTCTACTTGTATATTATCCAGTGCTATTTTGTAATTGAAAGGCTGTTGGCATTTTTGCATGCGGCAGGGAATACACTGTGCCGAACAGCGCGTCATTTTATGTAAGTCGTACTTTTTATTTTGACAATATCCTGTTTTTGTTTTTATGACGTAGCGGTTTTACGACACATTTTAATATGCGTAAAGGTTTCCTGTCCATGTTTACTCTTTACGGTGTATTACTTTCACGGTGCTTCTTCCAATTTTGGGTCAGGTTTTTGCGCGCGTATTTTCGCTTCTACGCATGAAACGGGACGCGCATTTTATGTACAGTCTGTACGCTAACTAATGTATTTTTTCATAAAGCACTATACTGTGTTCGTCGTATCAAGCCGACTTGGCTCCTTCTTTACTTTACCAGGCAGCTACTGTCAATCAATTTCCGACTTTGTTACTATATTCCATGGCGCGTTAATATTATACAAACAACACGCACCATATACACATTCATATACATACATACGACACACGCATCTATATATATATATATGTATGTATATATATATGTATATGTATATATATATATATACATAAATACACACAAAATATACTAGGTATAGTTTTTGTACAAAGGTATGCGCGCTCGACCGACTTGCCCAGCGAATCTTCTCAGCGCCCGCCTAAGCTCTATTGTACACCCCTTCCATGTTGATTTAACATGCATTAAATATATTATTTGGTTTAATAACTATATTGAGAGCAATTGATCTTTAAATAAAGCCAAACAATGCGAAATTTCCATGTGTATTTTTAATATTCCTGAACTTCCTTCCAGTATTTCCGCCACCTAAGAGGAGGGCCCTCGCATCAGTCTCACTTTTTTGGTTGGTGGAGTAGGGGAGAGTCCGCCAGTACCGTCACCCTAAGGATGATTCAATTAAAACAAAAATTCCAGAAGTTACATGTACAAAACCTATTGATATGTGTACAGGAACTCCTGTATTATAAATGAAAATAATGAAACATTGATATATTTAAAAATAATCAACTTTGTTGTAATATACGAATTTATTATAATATTATATACATTATAATTATTATATATTATATAATTTGTAATATACGAATGAGTCAAATGTTTAGTAAATAATATTCCAGAGTCAACTGTAAGCACAACCGAAATCCGAACATTGACGACTGTTTCCGAAGGCAGCGCTCGGGGGTTAGCTACACGTAAGTGAGGGTGGCTGCCTGTGACGCAGGGAACGTAACGGCTCGGGGCCTTCATTGTTCCTAGACCCATCCACCTAGTCAGTGCGGCCTTACCTACGCGATAGGTGTTTCTCTATCTCTCTCTCGCTGCGCGACTTCAGTGTGTGCTGTGTTACCTAATTCCGTTATTTCCGCTGGACCATTGCTTCTTCCGTGATATCACTTTGCTATCACAGTCAACTCCGTAGCAAATACGTCAAGTCGGTTTGAGCGGTGGCGTGTCGTGGGTTGGCGTCGGCATCCCTTACTGCGCTCTCTAGGGGAGCGGTCACGTCCGTCTGCGTTCGCTTGTGCTACTCCGCTTGGCGTATAGGTGTACTTTACGTCCACCAAGTAGCTTCAATCACCTCTGTCGGAAACACTTTGCGCGCTGATCGAGGAATAACGTGATTCACCACCGGTGATCAATGTGGTTCCTTCGTCTAACCTGCCCAGAGTTTCACCGCACGGGCGGGCAGGGACGAAGGTTTTCAGTGTAATTAAAGATCTCTAGCAGATCTTCCGACTTCGGTTGGTTTCTGGGTCCTTGTGATTCGTTGCGGTCGACTCGGCTAGGGGTGATCGCGATTTTTAGTCTGGCTCCCATTTCTCGTGTTTTGTGTTTGCGACCAAAGCATCCGAAAGTGCTTAAAGTTGGTCACAGGTTGTGACCCTTTTAACTCCAATAGTTTTCCTCGACGCAGCAGTCTGCATACCTGTAAGACGGACCCCGCCGCCCGTCGAAGGTTGGACTTGATTGCGTGTTTCTAACCTGCAGACGACTTGATCCAAACCATTACATTGTCTCGTCTTTCGTGATTGTTGGCCATTCTCCATTTAACTATTATTTCTTTTTTATTTAGTGTTCTGCGTTTGCGACTAAAGCAGGAAACAGGTATTTGCCTGCAGATTGCTTGGTCCGGACCTTTACACGTACTTATTATTGTCCATACACAATTATTGTAATGTCCTTTGCGTTGAAAATATTCGATAAAATTTTATAAAAGGAAAAAGGATGTGGAAAAATGGAAGAAGATTATTTATTTGCAGCACCTTTGATAGAGGATTCCGCTTGTCTCTACCTAAAATTAATAGTTATTCAAACATGTATTTTTCTCTATTTTAATAAACTGTGCCAACACAAATATTCTTCGTGTGATAGAGCACAATTATTGTAATGTCCTTTGCGTTGAAAATATTCGATAAAATTTTATAAAAGGAAAAAGGATGTGGAAAAATGGAAGAAGAGGTAAATAAAAATTCAATATTTTTTGTGAGAGAAATGCACAGCACTCCTGTACTTGGCATAGTCTTTTTACACGTACAAGAACGACGCGATTGGAGGTCCGTTTGCGCTGTAGTGCTTTGTATAATTTAAATACTATTCAGCCGATTAGAGAAGCAGTAAAAAATGTCCCACAAAATTGCACTTATTGATGTCGGGCAAAAATATTTCAACAATAGGCTTTTTCAAAAGTTGTTCAGAAGTTCTATAGTTCCCGGGCTCGTTCTAAGGGTTGCTTTGGGAAACAGCGGTGAGTAGCGGAGAACCTCTGCCCGCCAAGCTACGCGTCCGTGTTCCCGTTTAGCTCGGCTACGACGGGATTCGTATTGTCGACGGAGGCGATGATCACAATATCCTACTTCCGGACTCGCCGCTATGATTTAGCGCCACGATTTTGGTATCGCCGAAAATTGTACCGTTGTGCATCTCCCTATTCATCTCTGTATATACACGTAGTAATGCTGACTGTGATTCGCCGCTATGATTTAGTGTTCCCGTTTAGCTCGGCTACGACGGGATTCGTATTGTCGACGGAGGCGATGATCACAATATCCTACTTCCGGACTCGCCGCTATGATTTAGCGCCACGATTTTGGTATCGCCGAAAATTGTACCGTTGTGCATCTCCCTATTCATCTCTGTATATACACGTAGTAATGCTGACTGTGATATTCGTGAGCTTCGTGAAACGCATAGATGACACTTTAAAGCGTGGGTATTCATGGTAACATGCCGTGGGTCTTTCAAGCGGGGCGCTATCTCTTGGATAGTCTGCGAAGTTTCTCAGAACTGTTGGCAATGTATCCAGGAGTTCAATAAATCTGATTTGGAATAGCATGCGTTCCGAGAGTACAGCTATTTTGATCCCGTTGATTCCATTTTGACTCTTCGTCCCTTGAAAAATTTTAAGATTGCACAGCCCTGGTGATATCGATACTTACAAGTGCAAATCACTTATTGAGACGTTCGATGGGCGATGTGATTGTTGAATTTGTTGTCATAGATTTTTCAATTTAGATTTAACTGATTGGCTCTGCGAAATAAAAACTTTCAGGAACACGCAAGATCGTAGGTCAGATTACGTGTCAGCAGCAGGTTTGAATGGCAAAACTACATAATTCTGTAGACTGCTTGATCCGCACAAAATGACTGAATAACGGATAGACCCGATTGATACCGATTGATACCGATTGGCACTTATCGCGCAAGCCGATGGTCTCTTCTAGATAATTTTGAAGCGTTGAAACTGCGGTCGGGAAGTAGAGTTCTGAAAGAACGGCTGGTAAAAGGACAAATTTCGTATAATTTGAACGTCAATTTGGAGCAACAAAACCGATTAACGCAGGCGTAGCAACGCTGTCCGACGCATCCACCGCAAGCTATCCGGACGAGCGTTGGTAACACTGGTGTCCAATGTACGGAGATACGGAGATAGAAACACGCGCGGCTGGATACAGATACTAGTTCGGCCTCGCTTTACGGCCGACACCGTTGCTGCCAGGCTAAACTTGTTGTTGCTGCTACTTACGAAGCGTTCAATTCTCCTCACGTGGAAACGCGCCTGGAAGGCCAGTGTATTATTCTTTTTTATTTTTATTTGCTGGCATTCGAATTTCATTAGAGTGCGTCTATTTATTTGTCGTCTCAACTGCAGACAAGCAATTGAGCGATTCAATATCCCTAATGGACAAGAGAGACAGAGGGCAAACTGGCGCACCGAGTGAATATACATTGCGACTTTGCGAGTCTCAGCTAGAGAAATTCCTTCCTACAAAGGCATCCCGTGTTAATTAGTCAGTCTAATGGAAACTTGTCTTTCGTCAGAGAAATATGTTGCTTTGCTCGAGGTGTCTACGAATAATCAAACTATTGCCCTTTTCGTCTGGCGACAGCTGGAAAGGTCTGAGGAAATGCACATCCTGACGGTCCGAATATACTTGTGTCAATACTCGGAGGACTTATAACGCAAGGACTTCCAGTGTGTCGCGAATGAGCTCTCCTCCTTCTCCCTCGATGTCTTCTCTATGTCTGTCAGTTATACTCTAATTGATTGGCAAGATTTAATGAAGGATTCCTACCACAAGTCGTTGCCACCGGACCAGGAGAATCGTCGCTGGTCTTTACTCGCTTCTCCATGGGATTGTAGCTCTCCTGGAAGTTGCGGAGGGACTGGCACAACAATCAGCATCTGACTCGAGTAAAAAGCTTTGACGCGTATTTTCGAGAGCAGGAACTTGCCACGGGGACGACCGTCTCCTTCGAATTTGACGTGAGGGAAAATGGCTCGAGGTAGAGCCGGGCTGCTCCAGGTGGCACCGCTGCTCTGGTGTCGTAGCCTAGTACCAGCCGATGACGTCGTTCAGCCCGTTTGCTGGACTTGGATTAATAGGATCTCCGCCTGGGACAGCTCTGCCGTGCACGCCCATCTAGTATCATTGCAAAGGACAGAGGGGTCGTACGGTGCGTCACTGCCGATGATCGTAGGCAGAATCGGAAACGAGATCGAGTTGCCGTGACCGAGCGTGGAGTTTCTTATCTTCGTTTCTTTTCTCAGAGTCTCTTAGAATCCTGCCGAGACTCTCCGCTGATCGAGCCGCTGGTCTCCTCGCAGTTTGCCACGATTACCGACGGCTCGAGGACTGAAACTGCGGCCGGCAGCCCATTCAACCGTTCGTCCTGTTATCCATTCAGATATCAGATTATCGGATTTCGCGCTGCGCACCGGAATGATTTAGCGAAATGCGGCGATGCGACGGCAGGGAGGCAGGGAAGCAGGGGGGAATCGACTGTCTCTACCCTTAAATCTAGAAGAAGAGGATTCTCAACCTCACTATCCAATGTATATATATATGATTCACTTACCTTTCAAGAGACAGACACGTGCTCTGGGAGCGAAGATCTTTTTTCAGGATGTTAGTTCAATAACAGGACTATTCAATTATTTTCTTTATATATTATGTGTATGTATTTTTGTATGGCTGCATACATGGATCTTATTATAATTCTTTAACAAACTACCCAAGCAGCCGGAATTTACTGTACACATTGACGAGGCAGCGGACGATCACACATGGATGGGTGTAGCGGCGCCTCCGGAAAAAATGAAAACGAAAAAGAGTGAATGCCTGAAAATGATATCTCAGAAAATTCCAGCGTGCTCGTCAATATATTAACATCCGTTTAAATTCATATATCTATAATTCAATTATAAAAAATCTCCCGAAACCCATGATTTTCTCTTTCTTTTTATTCGTCCTTTATATCGCTTATCGTTATAGCGCGAAACTGCACGCGTAACGCGTCGTGGATAAAAGACGCGAACGAACGGTGGCGCACATAGTCCAATTTACATGGAGCGTTAGCGTATATCTGTATTGTATGTTATAACAACCTGCGGTAAGAATAGAGAGGAAAAGACATTGAGGCAAAAGACGGAATTACGTGAATTCTCTGATTCTGCCAACCTAATCGGCGTCCTTTTATTTTGAATGGATCACGCGCTGCTTGGAATTATCGAGAACGGGATTCGAAAAGGAAGAAAAAGAAAAGGAAAAGTACCGGAGGGAGAAGCAAGAAGAGAATATGCCGGTCATCGGGAAGCCTGCGAGTTCTTTGTTCTTTGTCCTTTGCTCTATCAGTTCTGGATGTGTCTCACGAGAGGGCGGGTGCCGAGCGGTCGTTGGTCTTGGTCTTTCTGAGTTTCACAGTCGCGAAGACGTTGCCCCTGAAAGAATCGACTGTTCGTTACCTGCGGCTGCTGCGGCTGCTTTGGCTGCTGTGGCTGCAGTCAAGTCTCGCGCCAGGCAAAGCGCGATAAAATTAATGCTGAGCTGTAACACGAAGGAGCTGGAACGCGTGACTCGGCACGCTTGTGCTGTATATTGCGTGAAAGGACAAAGGACGAAGGACGAAGGGCGTCGTCTTACGTGCTCCTGGCCATTCCCCATTATCCCCGGATATCCTTCGTCGTCACGAACGATGCGAAGGTATCCTACGAAGGTCGCTGTGGAATGGTCCTGAGGACTCTACGTGGAATGGGAAGCAACGGGAACCAAGTCTAATTCTTCCGAGAATGAGGATCGATGATGCGAGCGACGGCGCCGCCGAAGAGAAGAGGCCCTTGTGCTTTTCTTCCTAGTCCCGGCCGAGGAGAGGGATTTCCGCCTCTGGCGACTTGGAATCCACGATTTTCGAATACGCGCAGCAGATTATGCGACGAGCCTCATAAGTGTGGCACGGCGCAACTGGGAAGAAGGATTGAACGATGAGAGGATAACCGACGGAATCCCAACGAAATTTAATACGAATTAATCCTGGAGCGACGCGCGCGGTGCTTCTGGACGCAAAGGGCCGCACACGTGTCTCTATTGGAGCCAGCAACTGTGAGGCAGGAATGCGCGCGCTGGACAAAATTAAACAAAAGCAAAAAATACAAAAAAAATAATAATCTGGTCGAAAGGAGTGGGAAAGGACACTACCCGCACCTTTCGGGCGGAGCGTGACGGGTTCTTATAAAAAAAGAAAAAAAGTTATATCTCCCTGTTAACTCATGGCTGCTGTTGCTTTTTCTTTTTTTTCTTGACGGAAGAATCGACGCCCCATAAATCATACCAAGGGCCGCAAGTGTTCTTCTCCCTCTCGCGCTCCCTGTCCGCATCCCTTCTCAGCTTCGTTCTCGGTAGCAAAGTCTTCTCCGGCACCGCCTGGTCCTTGACGACGATGCAGCTGTAGGTGGACTCCTCGTCGGAGGCTTCGGTCTCCGTGAAATTCTGAATGAGACCGTCGTCGTCGTCGCCATAGATCTTGTTTCTTCTGGCAGCGGCGGCCGCCCCGCCGCCCCCGCCGCCGCCACCCTTCTTCACCTCGTTATTCTCTTTCAGTTGAGCTACCACCATGTTCTGCTTCGCTTCCAGGCTGCGCTTCCGCTCCTTCTCGAGGATCGCCTTTCGCGACACGTTCCCGACAAAGTACGTGCGCTCCTCCTGGCGCATCCTGTATTCCGACCTCTCGGTCACCTTGGGCCTCTCCGCGGGCGTCGGGAAATCAGCAAAGTACTCGGATTTCTCCGGAACGTGAATTCGCTCGGCCGGTTTTGGCTCCTCGCCACTTTTCGACTGATCGCTTCCAGCCTCCCGCGATCTCACATCCTTCTCGTGGTTTTGGCTGGGCTTGACGTCATCCGGCATTGATTTCCTCAAGGATTCTTCCGCTCTGCGCTCCTCCTTCTCCTCCTTCTCCTCCTCCTTCGCCTCCTCCTCCTTCTTAATCATCTTTGGAATGTCCACCAGAGATCTGTGCTGCCATAGCGCCATGCCCTCGAGAACATCCGAGTCGCGCCTGAATCTCCAGAAGGACTTTGTGCGTTTAACCAGCTTGGGAGCCTTCGCCTCGAAGTCGAAGCTCCTGCCGATAACGTTCGTCCTGCCCTGCGCAGCTGCTTTCCTTTCGTTCTTCAGGGTGTTGTTGTTGGAATCGTTACTCTCTCTTTGGCCAGCCTTACTGGGCCCCTGCTCGCCGGCTGGTCTGTCGATCTTCTGGTAGTTGTGTTTCTCGATGATCTTGCTGCGTTCTAGTTTAGTTTCAAAGTTGGACTCGTATCCGCGCTCCTTCTCGAGGAAACCGGGATCACGCGTGTATCTGCCGGTCTCTCCATAGATCTCTTCCTTCTCGGAATACCTTCGTTCCCTGAAGGGCCTCTCGCTGGGTCGCTCGGGCGCCTCCTCGAACGGCGCCCTGGGTCTCTCGAATCTACTCGATCGTCTCTCCACGTTTCTCATGCGATTTCTATCGGGATTCTTCTCGAAGGTTCGTTCGCGTTCCCGGGCACCGTCCCTGTCGTAGGCGTTGCTCGCCGACGACGATTCCATTGCTCCAGAAGCCGAAGCGGAGTGCTCGAAGGATCTCTCGTGTCTCTCATTATGTCTCTGAGGCATCCCTCTTCGTCTTTCTTTCTCGAGTATATAGTTGTCGTACCTGCTGGAAACCTTTTCGGCTCTGCCGAAGTCTTCGTAGTCGTTCCTCTTGTCTGCGTACTTTGGGGGACTGTGCTCGCGCGCATACTTCTGCGCAGTCTGCTCCAATTTCTGTGCAATTTGCTCGACCTTACCCCCATTCTCCGGAATGGTGATGGTACTGTCGTCGTCAGTGTCCGAGGAGCAGCTCTTCTCCTTCTCCTCGTAGCTTGCCTCGTGATCCACCACGCGATATCCTTTCCGAGGACTCTCTTCCCTACCGTCCACACGATCATCATAATATTTATTCTTCTCGTACTTGCCAGAATATTCTCGAACCTCGAACCTTTCTTTTTCCTGCTGTCGATACATCACTAGATCCTCCTCCTCGTCCTCCTCCTCCTCCACCTCCTCCTCCTCCACGTCCTCCTCCTCCTCCTCCTCCTCCTCCTCGTCATCGTTCTCCTCCTCACGATCTTGCCTGACGATCGCTTCACGCTTTTGCGACGTCAACTCGTTGGAACGCCGATTTGCCTGACCACGTGCAGCAGGGGGTTCACTGGTGAACTTGCTCCTGAGATTGGGATTGGGTCGCATCTGATTCTCATAGTTGTTTCCCTCGTCTCTGCCGTATTCTCTGCCGGCGTGTCTCTCGTACGTCTTGCTCTGTCCTTTGGCAGGATGGCTCTCGAGTGTTCCACGGGCATGATATTCTCGACTCTGTGCGTTGGACTCCTGCTGATTCTCGTATCTTGCAAGCTCGGGTGCCCTGTGCCTACCGCTCGGCAGATTCTTTACACCGTCTTCGCATGTAACGTCCTGTTTTACGTTCGCCCACAAGTCCATCGCGCTCCTGTAAAGCTGCCAGCTCTTCTCGTCGCGCGGTATGGTCTTCCAGGAATCGTTCATCCAGTCCTTGCCAGGATTCTTCGGGTCCTCGCGATTCTTTTCCCGTTCCGTCTCGACGTTGCGATCGGCAATGCGCTCGGCGCGTGGTTTTCTGCGCCGTTGTCTGTGTGGCGTCAGAGTATTTTTTTTTGGGGTCGAGAACGAGGAGATGAATGGAAAAAAATAAAATAAAGTAAAGAAAATGAAAATACAGAGAAAATAGAATAAAATGAAAGGACGTGGAAAGAAAATTCTTAGGCTGGAGGAAAGAGTGGAGAGTGTAGCGAGAATCAAAACGGGAAGTACATGCTAAATGACTTGAGCAGGTCGACTGCGAGTGAGTAGAGTCGACTAGAGGGAGGGACGGGGAGGGAGAAAGGGGGAGAGAGAGAGAGAGAAGGAGAGTGGAAATGGTAGATAAACGGTGATAGACGGAATGAAATACGTGCTGGGTTGCTCGGAGGGGATCTAAAGTCCCAAAAGGCGCCACCACCCCCTGATTAATTCCACCGACTGCGGTAACGCATGCGGAATCTATAAAGAAGTATAGAGAAATCAAAAAACAAATACCACGTATATCTGAAATGTAAATTTTGGCCGTATCGGTTAATTATATATATATGGACTGGCGGGATTCTGCGCGCGAAGTTTCCCAATGGACATGTTTTATATGTTTCAGGTGCACGTGACCGCTGCGCCTCGCATATGATGCAGGTCCGTGAAAGCGATGCACGTCGCACTCACGAAAGTTCAGACGGATCCCGTCTAGCAGAGCTACAACACACGATCTGTAGTGTAATAGCTATGTATGCCGAATATTGTGTCCGTTGTCCGATAAAGCAGGAATCAAACGATCAAAAAAAAAAAAGATGAAGAAAAATGGACGAAGCTGCACTTTTTTCCTGAGAGCTAGAGGTCCCGGTATTTTAGGCGAGCATAGCATCGATAGTACTGGCGTTCCATTTACAAAGCTTCGAGAAAGCATAGATCGCCAAGGATCCAGCAAAGGGACGGAGTAAGCATTCGAAGAAGTTGGCGGGACGTCATAGCAAGAGGACACAGGAGGAAACTCGGTTCCCGATGACTCCTCGTCCTGGCCGGGCAGGATGGACTATAATGGCATCTGGAAGAGCTTACCTCATCGCTTCGTCGTCGCTATAATCGACGTCAGGCTGCACCGGCGGTTCGTTAGAAAATCCGCTGTCGTTGCTGCTGTGCAGTGACGTCACGGCCTGTGGCGGGGGCACGGGAGGCACCGGCGGCTGGACCCTACGGCCACCGCCGGCTAGGGCCGTTGGCAGGGTACCGGATGGACGGATCTATTTTAAAGCGAATTTTCTCATTCGTCTCTTGAGCAATTATACTCCGGACGCGTTTGGCAAGACGACTCGCATCCTAAAGGTTTAGCGCAGATCGACTGGTAGCCTTTTCATTGTTTCCCTGCTCCGTTGCTATAGGGACTACTCACCGGTTTCGCTTGACGTGCGGATGGTGTGGCGACGCTATGGACTCCACTACTATTCCCCACGTTGGTCGGAGTGTTCTTGTTGTTGTTGTTGTTGTTGTTTTTATTGTTGTTGCTGTTGCTGTTACTGTTACTGCCGGCACCCGGAGTGCTGGACAGGTCATCGATACTAGGTGTAACTGGAGGCCTCGAGGGTGGTGGCTTACAGGGTGGAATTACTCTGGGCTCCGGACTCCTTCCGTTGTTCATGCCGTGACTGGGTGAGCTGTCGAAGCAAGATCATTCGGTTAGATTGACCTTTAACGAGAATCTTTTCCCGTTTTCTTTTCTATCATATTTGTCAGAGAAAAAGACCAAATATTCGTGAGAAGTAATATATTTTGAATTGGCTCTATCGCGCAACACTCTCTCAGGCATCGAGTGCCAATAGAAGCAAAGAGATAGTTTCAGTGATGAGTACCAGAATTGTCAGAATTGTCCAGCTATTCTTTCTGTGTAACTTACCCGAGTGTCTCGTCGATGATGATCTCCGTGTAGGCAAGCGGAAACCAGCCGGAGCTTTGCGTACGCAGATTCTCCCCGAATTGCCAGCCCTTTTGTCGCTCGCCTGGGAGTTCAAAAAGGGAAAGAAAAGAAAGGACAAAGATAAAAGAGAAACAAGGAATGTCTTTCCCTAACAATGCTCCCGGCCCGGAGAAGAATAGAGGAGGAGTGAGAGAGAGAGAGACAGAGAGAGAGAGAGAGAGAGAGAGAGAGAGAGAGATTGCGTATCTCATGTGGAAATCTCAAAACTATAGCAACTAGAGTAAGGTGAATCGAACGCGTGCGTGTAACGGGATGTGCACCGTTAAGACCGATGCTCGGAGTAGTTCCCTTACCATGAGAAATGCTCAACTTTATTTGTGGCATAACCCTCCTACGTGCTTCCCTTAAACACAATTTCAACCCTCTACGCTCAATTGGTACTCTCAACTTCAGTTTCCGCCTACGTTTAGGAAACTTACCCATCAGTGCGATGAGGTCGCCCTCCAGGAAGCTCAGCTGATTATCTCCTGAGCTCAAATAAGCGAAAAGGGCTCTTGCCAAGGGTGCGTCGCTCCAGTTCTCCGGCCCAATGCCAGCCGTGTTAGCGGTGCCGCTGCCGCGCGATGCTGGGGCCATGGACCTGGGTCGCGGTGGTGTCTCTGGGATGTCTGGAAATTTATATATCGGTCTACCGGCATCATCTTCTGCAATATACGTATACGCTACAGTAACGAAGAGACATGCCAATGAGAAACGGATAATGTTGAAAGAAGGGATCAAAAGAAAAAGTGTGCTAGGCCAACACTAAGCTATGAGCCTGCGTACTTGGATCAACACGGAACTGACGTCATGACGGTATCATGGCAGTTCATTCGTATTTTGAATCGAGTCAAACTGGAAGCTCGTCCACTGTCCCAGTAGTGTTTGGCGATCAGTCAGAGTGCTCCAGGACTTACCAGGACCAAGTGAGAGCGAAGAGGCGTGAAGATTAACTTCGGAACGTGCCCTGGAGAGAACGGCCGGAAGGTGGGGCGGACCTCCATCCTGGTGAGAAGTCGACGTGGGATTTCCGGAGGTCGGCCCGAGTCGCAATTCCAGGCAGGAGCTATCCATACTTCGGGTTTTTCTCAATTGCGAGCTCATTGTCAATTCCGAGCCACCATTCTCCTCGTCCTCGGGCCAGAACGACACTTGCTGTTGAGTGATGTCCACGTGAGTTAGAGCGTGACCCGAGCCTAAGCGGGGGAACCCAACAAGTCTACTCGACCCTTACCCTCAGCCTCGACGCAAACATGTCCTCGACTGATTGCGGCAAGTATTCCCTGGTGGCGGCAACCTCGCGCCATTCATCCACGGAAGGGTGCAGGGCGGCCAGAGCGACCTCGTGGAAACTTGCGTAGTGCTTGGCCAGCGAGCACTGTCGTTCCAGTACGAAGCCGTATCGTCTCCTCTCCTGGGTCATCGCCTGGAACGGAAGTTTCTCAGGGTGAATCGCGAGATCTCGTAAATCTCTAAGCGTTAGAGGAGCACGTGCGATCGCGTCTCACATTCTTAAGGCTCTGCTCGCAGAAGGCGTCCAGCTTCGACTTCTCCTCTTCGAGTATCTGCATGTTCTTCAGCTCCTTGTCCATCGCAAGCCCACTCTTGCTGGCACCCCTAGACTTCTTGCGCTGCTTCTTTATCGTCGCGGCCGCCTTGCTGTACGTCTCCGACCTGGTCTTGTGCTGCTGCAGGAACTTTTTTTGTTCGCTCTGGGAACACGTGGCAATTTGCATTAAGAAGAAAAGCGATATACTTGACGCAGAGTAATTGACTATTCGGCAAGTTACCTGCACGACTTTAGTGTCCTTCTCGAGGTTTGTCTCCAGTGGAACCAGAAGATCCACGTAGAAGGCCTTGAGCTAAAATGCGTCATCGAGTTAGCAGGAAGATGATACTCGCGATACAAGAGATAGATAGGAATTCGAAGGAATTCCATGTGCTGATGCACCACTCAACCATTTTACTCAGCCTTTTTTCATCTATAATATATGCCAATGTATACTAAGCGCACTTCGCTAGCTAACAGTGCGCGCATCTCGTTCAATCTTTTAACTGTCTTGTGCACCAAAGAACCCGAGGAAGGTCACAGTGCGTCCTTCTTAACTTTTTCGGCACCCTCTGGCGAAATCAGAATATTTCACGGAACCGAGATGGGAAACAGGTGGTTCCAATCAGGCCATTGCAAGATACTGGACGAAGTTGGAGGATCGGAAGTTTCTAGCCAGGCTGAACGGAAGGCAGAGCTACATTGGGAAGGCCAGGATCAATTTGACTTGCAATTTGGACGCGCCAGGCGTCCACCCGCGAATAGGCGCCCGGGGTGCTTGCTGTCCTTTGCACCCTTGCACACGTCAGGCCATTGCTTTTTAAATGAGCGAGGAAGCCGCGCAGTATAATTTCCTCCCACAACAGCCACTGACGCCAGGCCACGCAAGAGGAGGACTATCGAAAGCTCCGAATTGAATTTGCGAGGCGCTTCCAAAGATAAGAGGATCCGGAGACTCGAGGAAACTTTCTTGAGTCTTTGCCAGCAGAGTCTGAACCCAGAAAATGGCGACAGTTCGTTAAAACATACTGACGAACAACTCATGCGATCTCCTAAGTTCTTAACAGGTCTCGATTGCGATTTGCTTCCAAATAAAGGAACAGCAATCAAATAGTATGTATAATTTATGGTAGGTATAGAAATAGTTTGCATGGAACAATGCGCGATCATTCCAGGAAGCCGACCAACGCGTGGTCGCCATTTTCACATTTATTTATTCTTTTATCCTCTTTTGCATTTGCCAAAAGTCAATTAGAACGGAATACTTTGGTCAGCGGAATTCCACGGCGCAGCATATTTCCAACCTGCCGGCGCGCCGACATACCAACCGGGTAACGTGTGTGGAGGTCGATGTTACTCCCGGTGCACGTGCAGAATTTTCGCCTCACCCCTAGCTAACAGCACCCACCCATTGCTGGATTTGTCTGGATGTTTTTTTAGAAGGAATCGGATGCTGCCGGCCGGAAGTACGCGAGTTCATGGGGAAGCGCTGCTCGAGAGCAACGATAGGTACTTTAGTTTAGAAGCATTCGTGCGGTGCTCGAATAAAATAATAATACTGAAAATAAAGTGATGCCGGACAGAGGGAGAGAGAGAGAGAGAGAGAGAGAGAGAGAGAGAGAGAGAGAGACAAAGAGTTACAGCGTTGGAGGTGCGGAGGAAGATAAAGGAATCGCTTGGGCGAGACACGCGCGCACGTAACACATGCTTTTATTGGGACGCTGGGCAACCCTGTGCTTTTGAGACAGTGTGAGACTGTGACAGGGAGACGATACGCTGTCCTGGAAGTTTAACAGGTTTTACAGTGGGAACTTCGAGGGGTGTGGAGACGCGGCCAGCGAAAAATAATTGAAAGGTGCTTGATGTCGTTTACGCGGTTAAGTTCCGGGACAACTGGACTGGAACCGAGCAATTCAGAAGATTCTCGAATCTCGAACTACAGGTGACATGTACAGGTGACTGTACTGTCGGTGGAGAAATTCGACTGGGCGTCTCTAGCACTGGTACAAAGCAACGAGTGTCAATATAGGAAGAAAGGGGTGGAAAAGTGCCGGATGAGGAGCGAGCGAGGACAGGAGCTGGGGGAGAAGATAAAAAGTGAAAAGCGCGCAAAGTCATGGACTGTCGGGGCTTCGCAAACATCTCTCTCTCTCTCTCTCTCTCTTGTGCAAATTTGAACAGGACTGAAAACACGCGCGGCTGTTTGTGCCTACGTAGCAGGAGGAGCAGTGCGGCTTCTCATCTACCGAGTGCAGGTACAGGAGAATCAGCATGAGCAGCGCAGACGGGCGAACACTGCGCCTGCCCAGGCAGCATCCCTCGGAGCTCTTTCTCTCTTGCTCGGACTATCGCGTTTCGGATGGCGATATCATGTGAATGCCTATTCAGCGAAAAACATCGGTCATTGCGAGGGACGAAATCGAGTTTTCGACCCTCGTTCGTCGAAGGATCCTTCTTCGGCTCTTTGAACCTTTTCACCGTTTCTCCTCTCCTTTTCAGCGAATACGAGTGCCTCTCCCCCCTTGAGCTCCCTCCAAATTCATTTCCAAGTGTTCCTTTTCTACGTGAATTAATTGGAAATCAGCAAGGAGCCTCCTCTATTAATTGGATCATCGCGCTTTTCTCTCCATCCGCTTCATGAGCAACCTTTCACTTTGCTCCCTCCGCTTCGTCCTGCTCCCTCCGCTTCGTCCTGCTTCGTCCTGCTTCGTCCTGCTTCGTCCTACTTCGTCCTACCGTACCCCCCATCCTCAAGAGCTTCTCGATTGGCCTGCTTCCAGTGATTCCGCTCTACGAGTCATTTCCGTCTGTTCCGAGCTCACGTGAGCAAACCAAGTATAGCGGGAATGGGATTCATCGTAAATTTCGGGATAAGCTTGATTAAAGAAGCTTTTGTCCGGCAGGTGGAGTGTAAACACACACGCGCGAACACATGCACGCGCGTTCCGCAGGAAACTGTTTCATGGATACGCGAGTACTCTTCTTATCGTGAAGATATATGCAGTCTGTGCCATTCAGGTCAATACGAAAGATGCTTGTTTGATCTTTGAATGTGCGAGAGGTGGGACGAAGATAATTGAACTAAACGAAAGAGATGAAAATGATGAGAAGCGAATGGCGAGGAGGGAGCCTCTGGGACTAAACGATCCAGACCACTCTTTAATTTTCCAATTGATATTCCCCGGACGAAAGCTCGGACGAAATTACATTTTCTTCCGTCTCTGGCAGCTTCTGCAAAGTTACGCGCTCTCGCCACTTTCGGAAGCGTCGCCTATGCGTTACCGGCATAAATTCCCCGAGCAATTTCAATTGCATTAGTAAAGTTTATTTAAATAATTTTGCGTTCGCCATTCAGGTTAATTGAGATGGAATAGTACACGCAGAGTGGGAGTCGCCCTGAGCTGATCCGCCCGTCGAAAAGGGCAAATTCGCGTAATCCTGTGAAATAAATGCAAAGTAAGGTGCAATAAGAAAAGTACAAAGGCTCGATTCTCCTTGAGGCTTTCCGCAAGCACTGTGGTGGCGCCGGTGTCCACGGCCTAAGCTAAAGCCAGACTGCGTCCACCAACGCTTCTATGTACAATTGCACGTAGAGATATCTCAATTTACTCACAATATTCATCTCCTGGTCCTGAATTTCCTTGTAGACCTCGACGATTCTCATCAGCGCGGATCCTGCAACAAATCATTCGTGTCAGATGCAATAGCTTAGCACGGCGGTATGTGTAGACATATTCTGATTACAGCCCAATAGGACGGAGGACTCGTGTTGGCAACGAAAGACTTCAGCAGTCCTTGCTTCACCACTGCTTCAATCGGGCATCGTCAAAGTCCAGCCGTAAACAAGGCTGCTTTGGAGTCCCGGAAAATCTTCCACGGAATTTCCGACTGTTCGACGCGAGCAAAACTAGCTAAAAAGCATCCTGGCACCGGGGAGCCTGCAGGGCCGACCAAATCTCCGAGTTCGGTATAGACCAACTCACGATGGAGAAGGCAGACTGGACAGCGAATGCAGCTGCCTGCTACGTGTAGTAGACTGGAGTGGAGAATGGAATAGATTCCAGTTTCCAGGGAGCACTCGCACCTACTCGCCTCTCGGTTCTCCTAGTTCCCTACAGATTTGACAGCTTTCCCAAATCGAACAGACCCGGAGGCGCCACTACGCGTAAGGCGTTCTTTCTCGAGGTGGAAGAGCAGGAGCTGCTCCTCCCAGCAAGGCTGTTTTTGCAAGAGAGCAAAAACACATGAATATAGACCGATAAAATATTCCGGTAAAATATCCTCTACGTAGATAGAGAATGCCGAGAAATGTCAGGAGCCCACGAGGATAACGCAAGGTTGGAAAAAATGCGATGTCCTCAAACCCGAAAGCCTCCCTCTTGTTTACCATGAGATAATACTGTGCACTTTGCACTTTGACTCCAGTCTCCTTGATCCTTCGTTCGTCTTCTTACCGGATCTCGTGGAAAATTGTAAATTCCGTTTGATCCGAATCTTCTGGGTATACCACAGTCTTGCTGAATATCGTAGGTCAGTGTTCATCGTGATGCGTCCGATTTAGAAATCGTATGAATTTCATGGGATTTCACGAGTTTATTAATACTTTGATTAAAAGTCCTAAGATTCGGGTATTGCAGTCGTTTAAACTTTTTGAGGATGGCTGCTCCCTGTCACCGATCGATTTATATCGTATTTCTCCCAGAACCTAACTACTTCAGTTACGGCGCAGAGCTGACAAAGTGCAGGTACAGGTAACGGCCACAAGTAACCACAAAGTTATCGCATATACTAGGAGGAGAAAAAAGAGAAACAATGACGAATGTTCCGGTTCAAGATGATTTCTACTGCTGTGCGGTAAGAGTACTCGCGGATGAGGTACTTTCCGATGCTGTGTCTGAGTGGATATGTATACTCAGCCAGTCAGCCAGTCAGTCACCCAGCTAGTTAGGAGATTGCGGGTTGGTCGTTTAATTAATGAACCAACAAAGTCTGCAGAGGCGCGGTGCTCTGGCAAAGTACGCGGTTCGCTCTGGCCACGTTACACCTACTAAATTTTCAGGCTGGGCAACTGCCCAGTGGCGAAAACTGAAAACGTTAAAATTGATCGTCCGGAGACTGCGAATGCCGATAACTTCTTGATTTCTTCACTTCGTGGCTGATCATTCCTTCGTTGGGATTTTGGCTAATTTTACAGCTGCCACTCTCAGTGCTAGTGAATCCACCGGACTCACATTGAGCCTGGCCGCTCATCTGGATCCAGATGGCGGATCCTTCGCGCACGCAGCCCTCAGTTTCGAACATGAAAATTGAAGCGAGTTCGCAGCCCACGTCGCGTTCCGCAATTCCCGGGAGAGCTGGAAAGATTCTGCAACGCGCGGCAGCAGACATTTACATTACGTTCAGCTTCTCAGAGATTGAGGATCGAGACCTGAGATTTTCAGATCTTGACTGAATAATAGCGCTGGCGATGGAGGAGAAGAAGCGCGAGTCCCCGAAGGAGTTCTGAAGGGGTTTGCATGCGGCGGCTGCTACGTGGCCAAGATGGAGCTGTCTCTCAAAGAGGGATGAAGGATACACGCGGCAGCCTTTCTTTTCCATTGGCGTATGTGCGTGTGATGCGCACACGTGTGGCAGACCATTCTACCCCATAAAGACCCCGGCACATCTTTCGTATCTTTTGCCAATTCTTGGGAGTCGCATCGAGTCCCTTCCTCCAGCACGGTACGATTTGTTATTTCGTTATTTGCTTTGGCGCCCCTCGAGAACTGCCGACGTTTATACAGAAGATGAGCGGGAGGGACGGAACAAGGTAAAGATCGTATTAAATAAGAGAAAGAAAGAAAAAAAGTAAATATCAGACCAAGTAAACCCGTAAGCTAGCTTACCGTTGGGAATCCGATTTTACTTTAGATTAAACTCGGAGAAATCCTTATTTTTCTCAAGTTTTGCCAGCCTCTCTCTCCTTCTCGGTTCCTCGTGTAATTCCTTGTGCTGCCATCTGGCCACGTCCTAGAGACATTACCGGAAAGTGTCGTGCGATTGTCCAATTGGTCGTAACATCCGGTGACCCTTTTACGTTGCCTCGCGCACAGTCTGTGCTACATGCGTGTGCGCATCTCTGTCTTCTTGGAAGGGTCTCCATGTATAAAGGGAGGCTTCTCAATGTTAATAGGCCTCCTAGATGGAGACGTGGAAACGTGGAAACGCGCACACGATCCCCGCGAGCCTCGTAAATTAACCTGATTTAACGAATCTCCCAAGTATCGCGGACTCAGGGACTTTGCTAATCCTGCGGCTATCTCCAAGGAGCACACGTCCGCGCGCTGGCGCCTCTTTTGCTGCCGAGAAGGTTAAAACCTGCTTGAACCCCCCATGGTGGAACCCAGGCAGTGTCAAGCTAATTAGCAAGTCCTTGCTTACCTCTCTTTTCAGTTCTCTAGTGAAGCGAGAAATATAAAGCAAAAGGATTTTAGTGGAGAAGCACAGAACCTGCACGATAGTTGTGTGTTGCCCGGTGTGCCGACACCCTAGCTGCCCCGACTACCTGACTGCGCTTACCCAATCTGCAGCCAAATCTCTCCGTCTCTTTCGGACATGGATAAAATCAGAGAAACCAGAAGACCGTATAATTAAAGCAGAACTTTTCCTCTGACCCGTTTTTCCAAATCCCTCCCTTTTCCATCGACTGGTTGTCGGAACGACTGGGAAAGCTGAAACGCTGAAAAGCCGAAAAAGTGGTAAAAAGCGGCAAAGCGAAGTCATCGAAAGACAGCCCCCGACTCGTAAGTCGGTTTCTACGCACGTTAAAGAAATTTGTGGTCCACCCCTAACTATATCAGGGTTACAAGTACTTTGAGAAGAAAGTACCAGGAGGTGACTGTGTGGTGCGGACTGTTCTTCTGCCGCGAGATCATTTCTGGAGGAAATTGGACGCAACTAGAGGATATGTCGATTTGCTCCGAGCTCATTGATGTAGTAACCCATTCGGCCCTGGGGAAGCGCAGAGTGCAGTAGACTAGGATCCGTTCAGCAGACAAAGTGCTAGCAGCCCGGGTCGTCGCACAATCAACCAGTAGTATTTTCAGGTTCCCTTCTATACTATCGTATCTCGGCCAGCAACCCAGTTGCACCCCCTAGACAGTCACCCACACGTTCGTAGGGACGAATTGGCTGTGATGTCAATTACATTTGGCATGGGAGAACCTAGACAGGACTAGGTTATAATAAGTCGGAGGCCAGTAGACGGAATTTAGCGGAGCGCTCGTTGACTACACACGTGCACACGTGCACACGTGCACACGGAGCCTGATCCACTCACGCTGCGATGCTCCACACGTGGAGAGTGGCTGCACTTCAATCTTCCGTTAGAGATCAGCGCCCAGCATCCCGGCATCGCAACCAAATCCCCAGTCCAATTGCACTTTGGAGCTACTCTCTCTCTCTCTCTCTCTCTCTCTCTCTCTCTCTCTCTCTCTCTCTCTCTCTCTCTCGCTCCTACTGGCGCTCTGCTTCTCGGAGTATCGAAGTAGCGCGCATTGCCAGTCAGGAGAACTAAGGGAATAAGAATTCGATTTCAGCCCCGAGACAGTAAGGACTAGAGATTAGCACGTGTCAACGGATCGCGCCCGCCGAATCTCTCTGCGATATTTCATCCATTCACATGTAACTAATGCACCTTTTTTAATTCTTCATTCTTGGAGATAATGAGTCACACTCTGATGCGATAACAAATGTACATTTTTTTCTTTCTATCTTCCTCTTTCTTGCATCCGCCCCCCCCCCAACCTGTGTTCGTTCTTGCGAAGGTCTGTCCAGTGTCCACTTCTCTGCAAGTAACTTTGCTGAGTATCCGTAATTCGTTTTTCGTCATAGAATTCCAGCCAATTAACAAAAACGGAAATCCACTTGAAGATCAAAGCTGACCTTCCTCAAACAGATAAGAAAAATAAACCTATTGAAGTTGGAAAATTGCGAAGATCTCTCTGTGAAATTTCTGTGTACTCTGAGGCTCGTTAGTGTCTATAGCTAAAGGTAGATAGGTCAACTCGCAACCCCTGGGAAAAGGGGTGAAAGCCGCATTGAAATTCTAGAGACGCGATGCCCGTCCCGAATCCACGTCCGTGTAAATACGCTTTAACGATAATGTAAACGGCGGACGAGCGTGGCTGCAGCGGCGTAGGAGCGTCGATTTTGCGGGCTTACAGGATCTTCTACGTCCAGTGTACCACCAAGCCTGTGGTCCCTGTGCGCTCATGCCAATGAAGATACCCAACCAGCCAGAGAGCACACTCTTCTTGGTAATTGGGGATCCACTTCAGACTCATCTGGACTCCGATCGAATCGCAACTACTGATCTGCACGAATTTTCGATTGCGCCCTGCCAAATTGGTACCGTGAGAAGCAAGTAGAAGTAAGGCCTTCGCGTGGCTGCGCTTGTGGGACGTGAGAGGTGATAATAGCCAACGAGTGCGAATGAGAGAGAAGAAAGGAGGACCTCGCGATTTTACGATGTGCGAACGTGGCTGCAATCGCGTTCAATGATTTGCATATCAACTGCAGCATCAGTGCGTCATTCTCGACGCACAACGATCCTTCAGCAGTATGCAATTGCAGGCGGATGCAAAGTTTGAAGGGAATTTTAGAGGCAAAGCAGTGCTCGATGCGGCTAGAAATTAAGGAAGATCTCATTTCGCTGCGGTTCGGCCACCTCTCATCTTTCATCGTCCCTCTGGCGGCGACGCCTCTGTCTTCTCTCTCTCTCTCTCTCTTCTCGCGATCCTCGAAGAGCGAGAGATTTTTCAGACGCGTGAAATCGACGTCGCCCTGGTTGATAATCGAATTTAAATTTCTAGCTCGTCGCCTCCCGTTTCCGTCCCGAGAGCGGGTTGCATCCTCTACCCTGATTACCAAGCAAGCTTCCTCTCGACTTCCTATCCATCCTCACCCCAGCTAATAAGAGGACAGCCGTCCTCCCCCGGGACCCCCCTGTCCCCCCTGTCCCCCATGTCCCCGTGTCGTCTCGACGTCTCGTGTTCGCGAATCTTGCGTCTCCAACGACGAGGGTGACGCGGGCGACGATATTGCCAATTTCAGTGTCACCCTCCTTCCTTAACTGGGTTCTCGAACGACCTCCCCAGGTTCACGCCGGTTCACGCAGATTCACGATCATTCGGAATCGTTCAGAAGGGTTTGGATAGACACTCCTCTTCCTATATGGTCATCCGGTGCCTTTCCGTCGGGAAGCCATTTAAGAAATGTCAGAAGCCCTTCCCAGGGAACGCTAATTCGCTTAAGCGAATGCTGAATAATATTGGCCAAGGTCGGGGGGTAACTCGCGCGACAGAGTTAAATGATCGATAGCTTAAGACTTATCAGTTATCAGGTTATCACGGTGGTGGTGGAACACGAGACCAATTTCATCTGAAATAACCATCCATTGAATCTCGATAAATTTCAAAAAGGAAAATAAAATTTACAGTTACATCTCGTATGCAAGGAGCACACGCATGTAGATATGTATATTACTCTATACTATATATGTCTACATATCGACTCTCCTATATAGTAACGGATGATACGGCAAGATTAGCTGGGTGCTGAGAGAATTCTCAGGAGAGAAGTGAATAATCTTGTGGTACAGCACGCGAATGCGCATGCGCCAAACTCAGGATGCGCATTCGCCAATAAAGCAGCCATCCCTTCGAAATACCAAAATAACGACACGTCAAAGTCAGTGGCAATATTTTCTAAAGGCGCACCCATTCTATGGTTAACGCGTGACGCGAGCCTCCTAAAGGTGTCGCGACGGCGACGGCGACGGCGACGGCGACGGCCATTACAAAAGTTTCCAACGACGCGCAAGCACTTGCCGTGCTTCTAATCCCAGAGCTAAAGTCTCGCGTTCACGGGTTTCTTTACAACGGCTACGGCGGCTACGCGGTGCACTGCAGCGCTACTTCCAGGTTGACGACCTCAACCTAATGCGCACACTTATCACGCTGCAATGATCTCCTTAGCAAACTACTTTTACTTTTCCTCCCACCCTCGGGCATTGTCTCCGGCCCTGGATAAGAGCTCCCGTCGGGCTCCGGTCGGAGCAGGTTAAACGGGCCGGGCGCTTATTGGCTTTGGAAGCCCTGGAAGCTCCTGCAGCTCGCGCGCGTCACGCGTCACGCGTCCCAATTCCTTTTCTCTTTGGACTCGAGACGCACGTTCTTCGTCCTTCGCTCCTTTCCTACTGCGAGCTGCGCCGGAGCAATGCAGTCGATTGTCTCGTCTCGTGTATCGGATATCTGATCAGATGCTGTGACGCAGCCAAGGAGCGCTCGAGGACCCTGCAGTTTCGCCAAAGACTCCAGAGAAGAGGAAGGGAAAAAGGAGGTCGAGGGTGCCAGTTGCAAATCGCGGGACGACTTAGGCAAATGCGGAACGTGCCTGGGCTACCCGATACCCAGGGCTGGGGCGCAGCAGGGGATGGCAGCAGGATACGTCTTCTATGTACTCACCGACATCTTGAGAGCCGCCCCACGTGCCCAGCTGAGCTTGACGCGCGAGCCTGGTCAGAGCATCCACGTAGACGCGGGAGGCTGCGGCCGCACCTGAAGTTTTACAAAACTCAAATTAGTCCAGTTGATCCGCAGAATATCCTATAACGTGTGTATCAAGCTAATTGGCTGAAACGGGCGCGTTCCTTCCAACGGCCGCCAGGTCAACGGGTCAACGGGTCAACAGGTCAGCTGCCAGTCAAGCAACAACCCGTCCCGAAGGCAGAGGGTGAGGGTGAGCTTACCCACCTTTTACCCTTTCGCGCCGACGGTAACCCAGTCAAAATGCGCCAAGGGTTCTTACTTACTACGGGACGGTCAGGAGGAGGACTTGCTCTCCACGTCATATGAAGATAAACCCTCGACATCGGCGCCCTATCGACGTTTCCTCCGAGCACGGCCCATGCTCCGAAGCGAAGGTCCATTTAATGCCTTGTCGGATCAGTAAAGCTGGCTATTTCGAAAATAGGCAATACAAAGGAGCCATCGTCCAGAGGGCGGGGAAAAAATAACTAGGGTTGAAATACGCTAGGAGGACAGCGTATCCCTACAGGACCCCACGGACGACGGGGGGTCGATATTCAGCCCGTAGTATCCAAGTGCCTGGATATCAGGAAGTTACGGACTCGCCAAACGTTGCCACCTATGTTACACGCGTACATTATGCTTGGTATATTGAGACGTAAAGTGTGAGAAGAGAGGAGAGGGATGATTTCATTAAGGATAAAAGAAGATCGTCTGGGGGCCTGAAGAGAGGAGGGCTGGTGGTGTGCCGATAGATCATGAACCCCAGGGGG